GCCGTATCGAATGAGGGCGGAGTGGAGGCCCTCGCGCTGAAAGTAACGCGAAACCTCGTGGAGGAAGCCCGCGACGTGGGCTGGGTTGTCGTCGAGAGTGACGGGATCACCAGATGAGTCGGTGATCGGATTGGTCATTTTTTCGCTGGGCGTGGCGGAGATGTCCGTCATGACCTCGGGGGTGGAGTGCACCTCACCGTATGGTACCACGTTTGAGCGCGGAGGCTCAGAGCCGGAGGGTGGCTGGCTCTATGTAAGAACTGTAAGGATCACAACACTGGTTCTCCGGTCCGCTGCCCAAGGGACGTAGGAACCGTGACACGATTGAGCACAAGGAAGCTCGAGTATTGACATCGGGGGTTCACAGCGCAGAAGGCGCTGTGCTAGTACACTGTGTGTGGTGTGTAGTGTGTGGAGGGTGGCACAGGCGTCCGAATTCAGACGCGTTGCACCTACAGCTTGTAAGTTCCCTCTGTGTAGTAGAGTTCATGTCCATGTGCATGTATTTTTGCGCAGCTGGGGCGCGGCGCGGCGGGGGAGGCGCGGCCGTGAGGGTGGCGGGCTGTGGGCGGTGGAATTGGACGGTGGGGGAGAGGCGGTGGGCGGGCGGGCGGGCGGGCTGCGAGCGGAGTGAGGGCGGCGGTGGCTGCGAAGGCGGCGGCTGGCTGGTTGGCGGCAGCATTGGCAGAGGAGGAGAGAGGAGGCGGCGGCGGCATGCCGCCGCCGCCTCTCCCGAAACTCGCGGCGGTGGAGGCGAGCGCGTTGACATTTGTCGCTGTTGCTCTCGGCCAACCTCGCGCGTCCCTCGAGTTCGGATTCACCATTGCCGTTCCTCGCGACTGCCTCGAGGCGAGGGGAGCGCCTGCGGAGGCCACGCTGCGGAGCTTTAGGGGCGCGCGGGGTCGCGCAAATGAGAGCCGGCATCATGGCAGGTCACCTGGGAACCGTTACGACGCCTTTTTCTCGCTAACAACTCAATCACGGCCGGCCGAGACGCGCCGAATGGCGCAAGAGGGCGTCAAGGCAGAAGGGCCCGTTCTTGTGGGTCTTTCGCTTCCAAACCGGACCTTCGGTGGAAGGGGCTGGGAATGCTGCGGAGCGGCCGCAAGGCAAAGGCCGCGCGCACAGAGAAGCTCCCCCCCGCCGTCGAGGGAAGGGCCGAGGGCGTGTCAAGCCCGTCGGCCCCGGACAAGGTCAAGGCGCTGTTCACGGGCGCGGTCATGACGCCCGAGCTCGCGCCGAAGTCCACCCTCCATGAAGAAGGAAACCTGTGCCCGCAGTCGGGGCTCTCGCCCCCCGGTGTGAACATGAACACGCCGTGGTGGGAGGGCGCTGGCGCCCCCCACCCCTCGCAGGGATAGAGAGGCGACAGTGGCCTCGCCTCTACAAACCCAAGTAGACTGACGACAAGGTGTGGCCTGGTCCGCCGAAAGTCAGACGCACGAGCAAGGGGGGGGATAAGCCCGCGCGTTCCGCCCCAGCAGAGGCTGCAGCCGATGCGACAAAAACACCACTGTAAAACGGTGAGTCCTTGGGGTTGAGTGGGCTTGCTTGCTCCCTTAGCCGGGAGCATCAATGCCAGAAATGCTTTGGAATCTTTGTGTGGACTTGACCTCGAGTTGAGCCCCAGTCCTCGAAAGGCTCTTCACAGCGTGGCCCTTGGCGCACAGGGCACAGGCACAGGCTCGCGCGGCGGGCCGAACTCCCTCCCGCCAACCTTTTTTTTCTTCTCTCCTCAGCCCATTTTTTTGATTCCTCTTCCTTTATGAGGCGGCGCCTCGCCTCTGTTGTCATCTTTTGAATTCCCGTGCGGCTCTCGATTCGTGGTTCGCCCCTCCATCGAGTGGCTGCCGGTTCGAACTCCCGATTGCATAGTCTAGTGGTCAGGACTCCTCGTCGTGGCCGAGGCGACCCGGGCTCGATTCCCGGTGCGATCATTTTCCACACTCCCCCCTTTTTCCCTCCTCCCCCCTTTTTTCCTTCTTGCCCTTTCCTTGCCTCCTCCCCCCTTTTTTGCTTCTGGCCCTTTCCTTGGCTCCTCCCACCTTGCTTTCTGCTTGCCCTCGCCTTGGGTCCCCCCTTGGCTCCTCCCCCCTTTTTTCCTTCTGGCCCTTGGAGAGCTTCATCCCCCCTTTGGCGCTTCTGGCCTTGACTTGGCTGCCTCGACCCTTTGGAGCTTCTTGCCCTTGACTGGCCTCCGCCCCCCTGGCTTGCTTCTGGCCCTTGCCTTGATTGCCCGGGTGGCCCTTCCCCTGCTCGACCGACCTCCTCGCCCGGACGCACCCGGACGAGACAACACGCCAGAACGCCCCTGCCACGCCACGCCTCGGCGCTCGATCCACCACCAACCACCAAGCACCGCGCTCAGCCCCAGCTCTCCACACCACGCCACTCCACCCGCCACCACTCCTCAACCCACCAGGCAGCCCCAGCACGCCACAGCGCCCCTCCGCACGCCGCCGCACCCGCGCAACGCCGCGACAGTCGAACAAAGGCTCAAGCCTCCTCGGCTCGAGCCGCCGCTCAGCTCCCAACTCCACCGCCATGTGACCGCTCGGGTGGCGCCAGGTGGCTTCGCCCCCCTCCAAGACACCTGCCCCCCTCGCCACACCTGCCTGGAGGGCTGGAGCAGGTGCGCCAGCTGGGCCCGGGCAGGTGGCTCCAGGTGGCTTCGGCCCCTCTAAGCCACCTGCATGCCCCCCCTCGCCACACCTGGAGGGCTGGAGCACGTGCGCCACCTGGGCGTCACTTCGGGAATTTCATCGTGGGTGTTCTTTTGAATAGGAATGTACTATAAACCGCCTCGGCACCACGAGCCGCCCCCGCCGCGCCTCCACAATCCACTCTCGCAACTCTACCGCGCAGCCAGCAAACGACGTCGACGAGGCCGACAAACAAAGCTCTGCATGGCCTGGTTTATCGGGGATCGAGTGATGGCGTATTATCGGGCAGTCTTCTCATTGGCGAGTCAGACTGCTCAGCGTCGGCAGCAACGGCGCGTGAGCAGCGCAGCCACCGGCTCCTGCGGCGTTTGCAGCCACACCAAACGCCCGCGCGGGCCGGGTTGAAGCCCCAGGCTTATGTCGACGCCGGACATTGATTGTAGCCGCCGATGACCGCCGCAGGCCCTCTTTCACACACCCCACAGTCCCAGTTTGCAGCGCGGGGAGGAGCGGGGAGGCTCGCGTTTGGCAGGCCAGCCCTTCCGTGGCTCGGATTTTCCGTTTCCGAATTCAAACTTGCGCCAGGGTGGCGCACGTGCTCCGGCCCTCCAGGTGTGGCGAGGGGGGGCATGCAGGTGGCTTGGAGGGGCCGAAGCCACCTGGCGCCACCTGCCCACCCATCAGGCCCAGGTGGCGCACGTGCTCCAGCCCTCCACGTGTGGCGAGGGGGGCGGGGCAGGTGGCTTGGAGGGGCCGAAGCCACCTGTTGCCACCTGCCCAGGCCCAGGTGGCGCACGTGCTCCAGCCCTCCTCGTGTGGCGAGGGGGGCGGGGCAGGTGGCTTGGAGGGGGCCGAAGCCCTTGGCGCCACCCGAGCGCTTCACATGGCCACAGGCGGCGTTTGGAATCTACTCCAGGTGCTTTTTGCACTGTTTTGCCCATGGCCACAGGCGGCGTAAGCCGTCTGCTCCAGGTGCTTTTTGCACTGTTTTGCCCATGTCCACAGGCGGCGTAAGCCATTTGCTCCAGGTGCTTTTTGCACTGTTTTGCCCATGTCCACAGGCGGCGTAAGCCATCTGCTCCAGGTGCTTTTTGCACTGTTTTGCTCATGGAGCAAGTGGCTGAAGCCACCTGCATTTTTGTGCAAAAGGCTCTAAAATGGCCGAAATCCCTGTTGGCGCACGTGGTGATTGCCACGTGTGCCTCGGCTAAGAGGCCTCTCCAGGCGAGAGTCAGGTGGCACGACGCGAGTCAGGTGGCGTGGAGCCTCCTACCTGGGCCCATCTCTCCGAGTGCCTCGGCTCAGAGGCCTCTCCAGGCGAGAGTCAGGTGGCACGACGCGAGTCAGGAGGCGGGGAGCCTCCTACCTGGGCCCATCTCTCGAGAATCCCCAGCGTCCCACCCTCCAAGTCACACTCTCAATTGCTCGACTGGCCAACTCGAAGTGCTGCGATCGGGGGTCCCCCATTTCTGAATTCCTTACTTTGAAAGGGCCCTGAGGGCACCCTACCGCGGCGCGCGCCCGCCCGGCTGCCAGGAGGAGGCGGCGCAAAAAGGCCTAAAGGACAGCCCTAAGGAGGAGGAAGAGGCTGGCTGGCAGTGCTGTAAGCCGCCGAGGGGCAGTTTGGGGGTGCTGTCACGGACCCAGGGGGCTGCAGAAGGCGTCCGCAGCCGGGACAACCCGCCCCCCCAGCCGAGGCCGGTCGAAGCCCACTTGAGCACAGCCATGAGGAGTCCTCTGGGTGCTCCTGGCGGCCGTTGGACGCTTCTTTCTAAGCTCCCCGGCCCTAGATGTGAGGTTACTGACTGCACTCCAAGTGCTCCAAGTGCCGGCGGCGGTATCCATGCGTGAGCTGTAATGTCGTGCGTGTGAGGGCCCGTGTATACGCCTGGTGCATGGGAACTGTGAGACGAGACATACCAGCTAGGGTGCCCACAGGGCCCAAATAAAGAAACTAAAAACAAAACGGCCACCCCCGATCGCAGCACTTCGTGTTGGAGAATCGCGAAATTGAGAGTGTGGCTATGAGGGAGGGACGCTGGGGATTCTCAAAGAACAACAACCAAAACACCACCTTCTCAAATTACCATTTCCCCATCAGCTCCATGATCGGCCATATCACCGTGGGTCACCGCTTCCCATCTGAACAGCGAAGTTAAGCACGGTCGAGCTCAGGTAGTACTTCCATCCGGGAGGGGGAGGGAAGGCTGAGTGCTGATCATTTTGCTGCGCTCAAGATGCATCTTTCTAAAGAGATAAGGGCGGCGTTGTCCGCCGTGTATCCCCGTGACTGCGCAACTCGTGGTACCGAGGAGTCTCGAGCTTCAGCTGGCGAACCATCATGCCGCTCTCGGCACCGCAGCAGCGCGAGCGCCGCGCCGCGCAGCGTGCTGCCGAGGCTCAGGACGCGGCTCGCGGGCAGCGCAACCGCCCGGCGCCGAGCCGGTGCTAGGCCGCCTCCGCTGCGCCTGCTTCCTTGCGCGCCGCTGGACGTCGGCCGAGAAGACCGCTTCCCTCTGGGGACCCGACTCCGCGAAGATCGCGCGCGCGTCGTGAGTGGCGGCGCGCGCGCGATCTCCGTTCCCGGGCACGCCGGTCGCAGTGGCATGGGCTCCCAGGCTCAAAAGCGCTCCCGTCAACAGCGAGCGAGCGCCGCCGCTGCTCCTCCTCCCGCCGCCGCTGCTCCTCCTCCCGCCGCCGCTCACCGAGACCCGCCGCCGCCGCCGCCGCCGCCGCCGCCTCGCGCCTCGCCTCCGTCACCGCCGCCCTCCATCTCGCAGCGGCGCGTCCCTCTGATGGCGCGGGCGCCTCGCTCACCGGCGCCTCGCCGCCGCCCCCCCCCCCTTCTTGCGCCGCTCCGCTCGAGGCCGCCGCCTCCCCTGTCAATCCCTGCGCGGAGTGGGGGCCCTGCGGCTTGCACGCGCCGCGGGCCGATTGCGGGCAGGAGGAGGGAGAGATGGCCATGGCCATGCCCCCTCCTTTGATGATGTCCCTTGGGGTGTGAACGGATGTCGGCGCTGTGAACAGCGCCGGGACCGACCCGTCCGGCGGCCCTGGGGGGGATGCCTCTGTGCGCGCGACCTTTGACACCCGGCCGCCGCTCAGCTCGCGTCCCACGATTTCCATCGCGCCTCTTCACGACCAGTACGCTCTGGAATCGTTTGCTCCCAGAACTATTAAGAAAACAAAATACGCGAACCCCCCCCCCCTAACTCTCCGACGTAGCCAGCCCTCTTGTGGCTTCGACGCACACGCTACTTCAGCCACAGAGTCCTGGACATGTCTATCAGAACTTCCTTGGGTGACCTCGGGCAGCAGGGCCGCGTGGGGGCCTGCGCTTGGATTGCCCCGTCGGGCGCGCATGTGCCCACTGTATAGGTGAACAGGCTTTATCGTGTGGTGCGGCCGTAAAGTTCTTCTGAAAAGAAAGAAAGAAAGAAAACAGACAACCCAAGGGAGGGATGGGAGGACGGCACGCCGCCACCACACAGGGATTTTAAGGAGAGGAGTGTGATGCGCTAGCCGTCGCCTACCCTAGGGAGTCTGCCTCTTCCTATCTCTCTTCGCAGTCTCTCTCCGATAAAGTTCATTTTTTGTACCTTCTCCTGGGAAAGTTATTTAGGAGCACCCCCCTACCGCCGCCCAGTACGTGCTCCGCAGCTGAGCCCACGCACCCCACAGCAGCTCAGGGACACAATGAGCTCGCATACAAGTGCTGGTACGCACAGCTCGACGCGTACTCGAATGCTGCCACTGTCATTCTAGCCGGCGAGCGGCGGCGTCACAGCGTCGACTCTCGCATCGCGATGAGACGCACTGCTTGCCCAGACGCGCGCCTTGGCGCGCTCCTGTGGTGCAGGAGGAAGGCCAGCGGTCGTGCTGCGCAGGCCCGGCCGTCTGGCTGAAGGGAGCAGCAGCTGGCGCTCAACAGCAGCGCTGTCGAGCAGCGCAGCCACACCACACTCCCGCCAAGCCACGTGTCATTTCCCGCCAAGATTTGGCGCCAAAATGGCACTTTAGTGTCCACCTAGCCACGTGGTCGCGGCCTGAAGCTCCAAGCTTCTGGGACTGAGGTCCCACATCGCTGGACTCCATTTGTGTGCAGGCGGCACCCTTCCGATCGTTCGCCGATATCCGAAACCGGGGTCGTACTAAATAACTTTCCCAGGAGAAGGTACTTCTTCTTGACGGCGAAGGCACCTCGGCGACACGATCCACGCCCGATATGCTGGCTTTCATCTTCGCCGCCGCCGCCGCCGCATCGGCGCTGGCGCCGTCGCCGCCTCGCACCGCGCCGCCGTCGCACAGATCCGCCTCCACCTGCGGCCGGCGGAGCGCCCTCTCCGCTGCCACTGCCGCCACCGCCGCCGCCGCCGCCGCCGCCGCCACGCCAGGTGCAGCACAGGCGAGCATCGGCGCCGAGTCGCGATGGAATCTGTGGCCGGCGCTGCCGCTGGCGCCGTACGGGCGGCGCAAGACGATCCGGAGGGAGGCGGTCGCAGGCCGCGTCTGGACGTTTGAGCAGATGTTGGGCGTGTTTTACGTGCACGTGCCCATCCGCATGACGGTGGTGCGGATGGACTCGGGCGGCCTCTTCGTGTACGCCCCCGTCGCGCCGACCGAGGAGTGCCTCGCCCTCCTCCAGCCGCTCATCGCCGCGCACGGTCCCATCCGGTACATCATTCTCCCTTCCGTCGCGCCCGAGCACAAGGTGCTCGCGGGGCCGTTCGCGCGCCGCTTCCCCGATGCCGAGCTCTTCGCCACCGACAAGCAGTATGCCTTCCCTCTCAACCTCCCCGCCGTCTACCTCGGCTTCCCGAGAGCCGTCCAGCTGCTGCCCGCCTCCTCCACCGCCTCCACCGCCGCCGCCTCCGCCGCCGCCTCCGCCTCCTCCAGCGCCTCCTCCTCCGCCTCCGCCTCCGCCTCCTCCGCCGCCTCCGCCTCCGCCGCCGCCTCCGCCGCCTCCGCCGCCTCCGCCGCCTCCGCCTCCGCCTCCGCCGCCTCCGCCTCCGCCTCCGCCTCCGCCGCCTCCTCCACCGCCGCCTCCTCCACCGCCGCCTCCTCCGCCGCCGGCTCCGCCCTCTTCGGCGGCGAGTTCGAGTTCGAGGTGCCGTCTCCAGAGGCGAGGCGCGTGTTCCGGACACGTCCACGACCCGTCCGAGCCATGCCCCAACAGGTGCTCACCGCCAAGGCGAGCCGCGAGAGCGTCTACCAGGAGGCCGCCTTCCTCCACAAGCCCTCGCGCACCCTCCTCCTCTGCGACGCGGTGATCAGCGCCTCCGCAGAGCCGCGCCCTTCCCTTCCCGGGATCTGCCCAGAACCGTCCCTGAGCCATCCATAGGTCATCAGCACTTCTGCCGAGCCGCCTCCCATCCTGCTGAGCGAGCCCGAGTACCGGCGCGCGCTGCTCTACCACGCGCGAGACGACCCGCTCGAGAAGGTTCCGAGACACCTCCTGCAGCCACCTCCCTGCAATCACCTCGCTGCAATCACCTCGCTGCAATCACCTCGCTGACACCAACTCCTGCAGACACCTCTACTAGACGCCTCTCCTGGACGCCTCTCGTGCAAACACTGCAAGAAAAGCAGTCGGTGCCGCGCCACCTCTTCACGGCGGCGCGTGAGTAGGTGGAGGAGTCGCCCGCCGTGCTGCGCAAGGGCTGGGAGCGGATCGCCCTCTTCGCAAACTTCTTCATGCCCGGCTCGCTCGTGACGCTCGAGACGGGCGCCTGGCTCTCGGCCGCGCCGCGCACGCCGATGCCCGAGCTGGGGTGGGGGGGCGTGCTGCCCTTCAGCTGGAAGGCGTCGACTTCGAAGGCCTTCGACGCCTTCTCGGCGGGCGGCCGTCCCGCCGTCGCGCCAATCATTCAGATCATCCTCTCGCGCGCGCCCGAGCAGGCGAGCGCGCGGAGACGCGAGGGGTTGCCTGGCCCTTGCCCTACCACCGCTGTTTGTGGCGAGGGTTCACCCGACGTTGCTTAGGCGAGCGCGTGGGTGCAGCGCGTTGCGAGCTGGGACTTTGTCTCGGTCGTGCCCGCGCACTTTGACGCGCCGCTCGCCGTCGGGCCAAAGGAGTTTGCGAGCACTTTCGACTTTCTCGCAAAGGGGACCAACGAGGTGCGCTTCTGTGACGAGGACGTGCTCTTCCTGCGCGAGGCGCTCGAGGGGTTGCCGCCGAACTTGGCCCTCTTTGACACGCCGCTCGGCTCACTGCGCGGCCAGAGGTGCGACCTGTAGCGACCGTGGAGGGCCGTTTCCCCCCACCGCAGGCTGCCGGTATGCCGCGCGAGCTATTGAATCGGCCGTCGGCGTGGCGCCACGCGCGCGTGCAGCGCGGCGACCGCGGCGCGGGCGGCGCGATTCCTCGTTTTTCCTTTGCTTTTTTGCGCAGCGGCGCCGCCAGGCGCCCGCCCCGGCGGTGAGCGACGCGTAGCGAGCGAACCGCCGGGGTGGGCGCCTGGCGGCTCCGCGGAGCTCCTTTTGCTCGGCGCGGGCGCGGGGGCGCGAAGAAAAGAAATTTCCCTCCGTCCCACCCAGCGCCTGCGCTCGGCGAAGGCCGCGAAAAATTAGAGCCCGCGAAATCGCTGCTGCGTCGGGATGCGGGTACCTCGCGAGAAGCCGTTCAAGCCCGGCCATCCTCACCCCCCCAAGCAGCTGCGGCCGCAATTTCAGCCGGTCCCGTGACCGCCCCGACCCGGCAGGCGCACGTTTGAGCGAGATCGTCCTGCAGCGCACCGAGAAGGGGCCGGTCGCGCGCAGCGCCACGCCGCAGGCGTCCGCCGGAGGCCCGCCGGAGGCTGTATGCGGCGGCCACTTCCCCTCGGTCTTTCGCCGCGCTCCGGCCGCTCCTTGGCTCCTGGCCGTCTCTTCCGAGCGGCTTTGCGCGCCCCCAACATTCCCCTGACAGCAGCGCCTCACGGCGTGGGCTGCGAGGTCACTCGGGGTGACCCAGGGGGCGGCGGGGGAGCACTCTTCCGCCGGAGTATCGACGGTCTTCCCGCTACTCGCTCGTAGCCCACCACCTTCCCGGCAGCCCCACCCGCTCGGTTTGTCCTCACTTCTCCCCCCCCCCCCCTTTCAGGCGAGGCCCTGGCCACCAAACTCGCGCTCGTCGCTCCGGGAACGGGCAGCAGCGCGACGCTTTTCGAGAGCGAGCGGCGGCGGCGGCTCAGCACCAACCTTTGCAACGCAGGGGCTGGCTGCGTGGGCCCCCCCCACCGGACTCCGTCGGGCTCGCGTCTCCCTACCTCTCGCGGGAGCTGTTGGGAGCGCAGTGTGTGTCTGCGTCTGTGTCTGTGTCTGTGTCTGTGTCCCTGTCGTGTCGTGTGTGTCGTGTGTAACTCTCGCACTGGCCACTGCTCTATCTTAGCTCTCGCCACAGCGCACAGGCTCTCAGCGCCTCGGCCCTCGCCCTCGCCCCTCGGGGCCCTCCCCGCCCGCACGCTCGACACACGACAGAACCCGGACGACGTGCGTTTTTGCTTCTCTACAAAACACGCACACCCACGCCCGCCCCAGTGAGCGGACCCAGCGCCATCGAGAAGAAAGACTTTGGCGAGCCAACGCAGCCGAGAGATAAATTCTCCATAAAAGAGAGCCCCTAGCCGCTATAGCGGTGCAGAGCGCGAACTCGCCGTACTGAGCCTAGCGCAGCGCGAACTCGCCGTCTGAGCCTAGCGCAGCGCGAACTCGCTCCTGTTCATAGCTGCGACACAACGTGTGAGTGTTAGATTTGTTTGGTATTGAAAAATCTCTCTCTCTAGCTGCGCAACCCTAGCCGAGCTCCATTTTTCTCCGACGGCGTTCTAGAGCCGTAGTAGAGCGTAGTAATAAAGAAATACAACGGACACCTCTAGGAGATGGCAGATGGGTAAAACAGGAAAAGTAGAGCGAAGTGTCTAGACTCTTGACTTAGTTTCCAGCGCGCGCTCGGGCGGCCTCGCGCGTGTGAGATCCAAACTCGAGACCAAAACGTAAAGCCCCTGCCCAGAGCTCGAGCTGCTCAGAATGGAAAATGCCCCCGGGCAACCGTCCATGCAGGCGAACAAAACAAATGTTTGGTATTGCTAAAAATCTCTCTCTCTGCAGGCGCCGATCCTTGTTTCCCGTTCCGTGGCTGGCGGGCTGCGCAGAGGCCATAGCCCCGGCACAGCGGCGTTCGGAAAAGCGGCGACGCGCAGTTTTGTCGTTTGAACACGTCGCTGGCGCCACCAGCGCCGCCACAGCCTAAGCCGGCGGCTCCCCAGCCTTCTTCACAGGATTCACACGCCTCGCTCCGTGTCCAGCGCACGCCGCCCCCTTTGGCAGAGCGCGCAACTGCTCCTTACGGTGAGCCGTCTGGTAGTCAATTACGGTGACGGTGTCAAACACCTGGAGGAAGGTGTCACTTGTGCCGAAAACCAGCCTTGTACGTGCGGCAAGCGGGCATGTACGAATGCGTTCAGTCCTTCGAAGTTGATCGACGTTTGCGATACACCAGCAGCCATGCGCAGCATCTGCTGGTACATGGAGATCTCGCTTGACTTGAGATTGCGATACACGAGCATCGCGACTGTGCGCCGCGGCTGGATCATGCGACCAAGTGAATGACTACATCACGCCTGACTTGGGAACCTTTATCATCAGTCGTGTGGCTCGAGCATTGTCGTACGCGCACAGAAAGCTGGGAAGAGAAGGAGGACACCTCGGTATCGTTCACCGGGACGTATCACCTCCCAACATCATGGTTTCTTGGAATGGAGTGGTGAAACTGTCGGACTTCGGAATTGCCAAAGCGCGAAACATGCAATCCCCAGATGACCGAGATGGTGGGTAAGGTCCCCTTTTTGAGCCCAGAGCAAGTGGCCATGAAAGGGGCGGACCCTCGTTCAGACATCTATAGCCTTGGGCTGGTCTGGTATGAACTTCTGACCGGTCGAACCGCATATGCCGCGGAGGATATCGAGGCTCTAACGGAACTGCATTCGGCTGGAATGCCGACCAGTGCCCGATAATTTAATCCGAGTATTCCAGAAGAAATGGAAGCCATTATGCTGAAGATGATCGCTCCTCAGCCGGCAGACCGCTTTCAATCGGCATCAGAGGTGGTCGCAGCTTTAGAGACCTATCTCTACTCCGGGGGCTATGGTCCCACCAATGAAAAGCTGCGAGATTACCTACACAGCCTATTCCCTGAGGTAGAAAAGAAAAAAATCATCGGAGACGAAAGCAGAGCAAAAAGCCCATGTTTAGGGTGCCCCGCAAAAAAAAGAAAAGAATTAAGAAAAAGAAATGGGCCACCCCCGATCGCAGCACTTTGTGTTGGAGAGTCAAGATATTGAGAGTGTGACTAGGAGGGAGGGACGCTGGGGATTCTCAAAGGTATACCCTTGGAGGGAGGTGGTCTGTACTGCTACGCATATGTAGTCGCCCAGAATGCACAGATCGGCCATGTTATGTAAATACGCGCCCGCGATCCATAGTGCGTCGGCCAGACGTCGCGTATTTCGGTGTCGTGCCCGAGCCAAGTCGCAAGTGGCGCCTGAGGGAGCTACAAATGTCTTGCGTATTACGAATCTGTCTTCTGCATCCACCTTCGGCCGATCGGGGTGTGCCTCTCAAGGCGCGCTGCGCCCCGGGCGCTCGGCGCCAAGTGCAGTGTCACGCTCGCGCTGGAGCGGGTCACAATGGGAAACCCTCGTTTCCTATGAACTCGGTCCCCCAACGGAAGAGGCCTCTCTCCTATTGAAACATTCCAACATCAGATTTGCCGCGTGCGTCCCTTTTTGAGACGGAAAATAGCTTTGAGCTGTGAATACGAGGTATTTTCTTCTCAATAACAAGGCTGTGAACCTGTCTGCCGCTCGGATGTGTCGATGCCCTCGTCGAGGAGCCCCATGCGCTGGAAGTTTGCGTCACTCATATGCGTGCCTCGCCGGCCAATAGGCAATATGCGCCGCGCACGCGTGCGCACCATGCCACAGTACCCGGAGGCGCGGAACGCGGCCCTGCGTGCCTGGTCCTGCGAGTGGACACTACCGTTGCTACCGATATGCCGGTGCCACGTCATTACCTCCTTCGCAGGCGCGCGGCCGTAGTCATGGCCATCGATGATGGCCATGTACTTCAGCATGGTTGGTCGCGCGCGCAGCCAGCGGTCACGCCAGTGAGCGAATGCCCAGTCATGGCTGAGCGTCCATCTGTCGACGGCCACGTCCTGGTCAAGTTTGCGCCCATCGCTGTTGATGCATGGTTGGTGTGTCTGGTATGCGCCGGTCACGCCAGAGACGCTTACATCCGCCTGGTAGCGCTGGAGCAGCGAGCGAAAGACGACGACGGCGTGCGGAGAAGGCACAACGTCATCCTCAAGGAAGATCGCCGTAGGGTGGTGTGCAAGCGCCGCATCAAAGATCTCAAACCACGCGATGCCGATGCCAACATTCATCGTGTATCGGTGCAGCACTGGGCCTCCAAGCATCTGGCGCCCTCGCGGGCTCTTTGCGGGCGCATTCCACGCAAATTGTGGCAAGGAGTCGCGGTTGCTGGAGGGCTTTAAGACGCGGGGGGGAAGCCCCCCGTACACTGCGAGCGCAATCGAGGACGCGTTCCACCTCCGCAATCCGAGGAAGCGGCCAGAGTGGAGCGGCTTCGGGAAGTACGTGGGAATGGTGGCCGCTGCGGAGTGGGCACCCGGGCGCACCGGCGGGCTGAAGCCACCATGGTGGCTCTTCACGACACGGCGCTGCGTGCTGCGGAGTAGCGTTCGGTGCGATCAGCGAGCCTATGCCTCGGCTCCGCGACACGCGACAGACGCAAGTGATGGCAGAGTAGTTTCGTGAGAATAATATCGCCTGGTCGAGCACCCCGCTAGTGAGGGGCTGAGGGTGTGCAAGACCAACAGCAAACAGGGTCTCACTATACTCACATCTCACACACAATGGGCAATGGGGGGTAGGGTAGGGGGGGGGGGGGCGAGGGTACAGGGGGGGGGGTACCATGAATGTTCGGTTTAGTCTACCGCCGAGTTTACCCTACCCCCCCGCCCCCCCCTGCGAGACGCGAGAAGTCGCGCGGGCGCCGAGAAGGGGTTGAAGGGTGACTGAAAGCGAGTTGCCAGTTGGCGCACGAGAACGTGTCGCACGGCGGCGACGCCCAGACGAGCAGGAGGTCGCGAGGGCGCTCGCCGGCGTGCCTCGCCGCCCTGCGGATGAGCTGCTACATATCAATTCTATGTGCCTTCATCGTCGCATTCTTGTGAAGGGTGGGAACAGCAACATGGTTGTTCCCATCAAGCGCCCACAGTGCCCACGCCTCGTGCTGCCGAGCCTGCCACAGCAGCCGCGAGAGTTCTTCAAGCTCGGGGTCTGTGCAGTGCTTCGTCTCGAGCACAAGCATGGAGAGATGCGGAAGTAGCCGAGGGAGGGGCAGCGCCAGTGCGTGCTGGCAGTCGAAGCCCTCCAAATCAGTAATAAGAAAGATGGGCCTGTGGTCAGTGGGCGTGTCCGCTGCTAACGATAAGGCATCGGCACATGGCAGCCTCTCTTCGACGATAAACTCGGCGGCTTCTGGGAAGCTAGCTCCGGAAGCGGCGATGGCGGCGGCGATCTGCCTTTGTGCAAACTGCAAAAAGAGTCGAATGTGCCGTGCGACGTACTCCCGGTCAACGCTGCTCACTTGCAGCGACTGCTCCCTCAGCCTCACGCCACGCAGCTCCGGACGCGAAGGCAAGTCAATGGTGAAGTCTGTCAGGTTGATGCCCCGCACGCTGAAGAAGGGCTGTGACGATAGCCCGGCTGGGCATACCACCGCGTTGATGGCTTTGACCTGCCCCGCGTCGATCCTAGTGCGCTGCGTTGCGATGAGCTGATTGTAAATGCGTGGATCGGCCTCGAGCATAATTCCGGGGTGAGCTTGCATCCTCGAATCAAAGATGCCGTTCGAATTCGCGCCGTTATTCGCGCCGAGCTGGACAAAGCTTCTCGAGTGATGCAGGTGCCAGCTGACGCACGCTGCCGAGAGTATCTGAAAGCACTGCTTCCGCGGGTGCACTACGCTGCGATCTCCCATGTTGGACCCTGGGTGGGAACATGGCGCGGCAGCTGGGCGCTCGGTCACGAAAGGGCACACCCCATGCGGATCGCCATGCTTCATCTTGAGGAAAGAGCCTCCACCAAGTTTGGCGGTCAGGGAGGGTCTACCTCCTGTATCGGGGTTATGGGGGGTTTACGAGGTGTGAACGTGAACAGAGTAGCCAGATCGCTGTCGATCGTTACGGCACGCATGGGGGGCCTCCCGGACGTATGATCCTAGCCCAATAAGCTCCACGGAGCAGATTTGGATTTTTGACAGAATTAAATGCACTGCCCCTACACGGTACTAACGATCGTAGTTTTGGGGGCGGCGCCCCTCACGGCACCACACTGACGCAGGACAGCCCGAGATTAGCCTAGCAGTGACTGGGCATCGCCTGCCGGTCGGCTTGGCACGAGCCAAGCACTTGGGTGGCCGTCAACCGAGTCCGAGCGGCGCCTGAGGTGGGTGCCACGGCGTCCGCACGAAGGCGTGGCGGGGTGAGGAGCCAGGGGTGGTGAACACCTCCCCGACGGGCGCGCGGCGCGCCGGATGGTCCGCCGAGGCCGCCGCCGCCCCGGCGGCGGCGATGGGGGCGGCGGCGCCGATCCGGCCGGCGTTTGTCGGCTCCACCTACAGAAGAGCAGTCTCTGTGGGTCGACGATACTAACTCGGTAGTAACGCTGAGCGGTGCTGTGCGACGCCGCGTCGTGCGCGAGGCGACCTCCTGAGGCTACCTGAGCTGGCAATGGATGCCACCAGGACGCACGGCTAGCAGGAGCCAGTCGGGCATGCCCTGCTGTGGAGCAGAGCCTGCTGGCGCACCGGCGATACTAACTCAGCGCGCCGCGAGAGGCGAATCTGGGCGACTTTGGAGGCGCAGTTCTCGAGGTTGCCGTCGACGATTGATGTCGGGTAACTTGTCACTGCCGTCCGGGAAGCTCTTCTCTCAGCAGGCCGAGCGCCGTGGCATCGCGCTGCTCGCAGCGCTGTCGCGGCGCCGAGAACCCCCAAAACTCGCGAGACCTCGATACTAACAAAGACTACGATACTGGAGGTAGCTAGACACCTGGGGAGGCAATGGTCAGCAGCACGTTGGTCTGCCGGGTCGTCCAGCAGAACGTTGGTCGAGCGCTGCGGCCTCCGGTTTCATCCTACGCGGCGTTCGATGACGCTACTGCGTCGGCTCTGTGCTTGCGGGGTGGTCCTCGTTGGCAAGCTATCCTTTTCCGTCATCGCCGCTGCGGATCCTGCTCCTGGTGCTGCTAAGTCGGCACACATCAAGCAGGACATCTATTACCAGGGGTTCTACTGGAACGACATTCCTTCCGTTCAGCGAGAGATCTCTCGGCGCAGTAGCGGCGACGAAAATGTGGACTGGCTGCCATACCTTATGAAATGGAAGAACGGCCGACCCTTCGAGCGCATCCTGTCGCTCAGCTGCGGTGACGGGTCCATTGAGCGCTGGCTCTACACGCTGCACGACGGCGGCGGCTTCAAAGTTGGCGTGGGGCTCGACTTCCTTCCGGAGCTTGTGCAGCGGGCACAGCGTGCGGCGCAGCACATCGGCATGAACGTCACATACAAGCAGCACGATATCAACGTTGAGAAGCTTCCGGCAGGTCCATTCGACTTGGTCCTCGTGCACGCAGGCGCTCACCATTGGGGACGTGTCGACTTTGTTATGCGGCAGGTGGCGTCGGCGCTTACGCCAGACGGCCTGTTCGTCCTCAAGGAGTTTGTGGGGCCCCACCGCAACCAGTATCCTGAGCCAATGTGGCAGGCGGCACTGCGTGCAAATGAGTTGCTGCCGAAAAATTACCGCAATCAAATGGCGTACCCACACCTTCCCACAATGCTCCACATGGATCCGTCAGAGGCGCAACACTCCGAGCTCATCATGGCTACGATCCGTCGCTACTTCTACCTCGAGCTCAACCGGCCACTGTGTGGGGCGCTTGCCTACCCAGTGTTCACGCACAACAAAAAGCTTCGTGCGTACTACAAACAAACCAATGTGAGCAAGAAAGGGCGTCCATTCGAGCAGCAGAAAGTGGAGCGGGCGGTCCAGGCAGTGATGAGCGCCGACGCCGAGTACTGCAAGCAAGACCCCGAAGGACGCTCGCTGTTCAGCTTCATTATTGCACGCCCATTGAAGGGAGGCGAACCGTCTTACAGATCACAGATCACTAGCAACACTGTTCAGCTCCCAATGTTAAACAGCTCTATTCGTGTAGCTCTGCAGGTGCGGCGCGAGCCGCGACCCGCGCGAGCTGTGTCACGAGCTGATTATGCCATGCCGAAAGACACCTCGCAGCGCGCGTGACGTGACCGAAGCGGCACGCCTCGGCGCCGCGAGAGCAGCCGGTCGACGTCGGCACCAAGCGCGTGGCCGCCGGGCGCCTCCGAACCGACAGGGGCGCCGCGGCAGTAGAGAGAATCGAAGGCTAGCTAAAAAAAAACGTTCATAACATCGAAGGCTAAGCTCAAAAAAAAAACTCGGGCCGAGCTGTTGATCGACTCAGCCCTGGGAAGTCTGCCGCTTCGAGCCACAGCGTGCTGGGGCCGGGCTGGCGGCGGCCCGTTTTGACGACGATGAAGGATGGCGATGACGACGACCTGGCTCTCGCCATCGCGCTGTCCAAATCGCTCATGGTGCGTCCGCTGCCCTGCCGCCGCCGGCGCCAAACATGCGGAGGCCGACTCACATGACATACGCGGGAGCTGTTTCGGTGCCCTGACGGCTCCCTCCGGCCCTCGCAGGTGGACGCTGCTGACGATGCCGTCCTTGCCTCGGGTCTGAGCGAGGACGACGACGACGACGACGACGACGAGGAGGAGGAGGAGGAAGAGGAGGAGGAGGAGCAGGAGGTTCCCGTGTGCCGCCTCTCCCAGCCTGCCCCGCGCGGGCGCACGCTGCGCGCACTCGGGTCCTCCCCGCGCCCAGCCGCGCGTTTGGCAGTGCCCGCCTCCTCCTCGCCTCCCGCTGCGCCATCCCACCCACCTCCCCAGCCACATCATCCAGAGCCCCCGCGGCTGCAGCGCAGCGTGCCCCGCTGCACACCCTCCGCCCCGCCCGGTCCGCCCACCGCGCACCGAAGCGCCGCCGCGCAACCCGACGCGGCAGGTCGCGTCGCCCATCGAGTACGGCGACCCCACGCACGGAGCAGGCGGCGACGAGGCCTCCTACCCCCCGCCAGCCTACTCGGCCTTTGCGGGCCAAGAGGCGCTGCAGGCGGCGCGCGCGCTGCTGCGCAGGCTGGTGGCGGACGCGGCGTCGGCCCTCGGAGGGGCGCAGCAGCTCGGCGCCGCGCCGCCGCCGCCGCTGCCGCGGCTGCTCGACGGCCTCGGCGAGCTCGCCTCCGCCGCCGATGCCGCCGCCGACTCGCTCCCTCCCGAGGCGCTCGGCCTTGTCGTGATGCCCCCCACCTCAAAGTACCCGAACCCATCCCCCACCCCCACGGTACCGAACCCACAGGCGCTCGGCCTTGTCGTGACGCTGGTGCAGGCAGCGGCGGCGGCGCTGCTGCTACCGCCGGCGGGGGCGGGGAGGTCAGGGAGGTCGCCTCCGGGGCAGGCGGAGGCGAGGAGCGAGAAGAAAGAATTCAGCATTGAATTCTTTTTTCAGGTCGCCTCCGGGCGGAGGCGAGAGCGACTCCGACGAGGGCGGCGACGGCCGCGACGCCTCGCCGCTCGCCGCCCTCCCTCTCATGGCTGCGCCGCTGCTGGAGATGGCGCGGCTGTGCGTGCGGGCGATCGAGGTGAATTCTTTTTTTCAGGGATGGGGCAGAGAGGGGGGGCCGAGAGGGGGGGCCGAGAGGGGGGGCCGAGATGGGGCCGAGGCTTGGCTGAGATCTCTGCCCGAGGCATGGCCTTCGCTAGCGCGCGCCCAGGCACGGCCTCCGCTCGTGCCACACAGTTGTTGTGCCGCTCGGCTGCTTCACAGCCTTGGTGCGGGCGGGCGGGAGGGAGCTCGTGTTCTGAAGCAGCAGGGCAGCAGCAGCAGCAGCAGCAGGCGTAGAGGAGCGAGCAGCGGCAGCAGCAGCAGTCGGAGGGGGGCGGCCGCCTCTGACCTCCCCTCCCCCCCTCCCCT